ATAGAAAGAAAATTCAACTCGACTGACTGACTGCAAAGGCTCGAACGGGGTATTTTATTGAGAAATCACAGAACAGTGTTGCCAATACATTTCCGCGCTGAATGATTCTGTGCATGTGCAATGTGTGCGTGATGTACGAGCTACTGTCTGTAGCCTATGTGTGTGCGTTACAGTGCAGCAGCGCATTAGATTCGAACTGCGATTAACTTACCTGTACAATAAGCTGTTTAAAATGTGCATTCTCCTGTTCAATTTTGAGCATCCAGTAATATAATCACACGTCTTGTGGAGTGCCCCTAGTCTTCATAGAAAGAAACTTCGACTGACTGCAAAGGCTCGAAGGGGGCAGCTTGTAGGGCTCTCAGCACCAATGCCAAATCCCAAGAGGGCAGGGAGGGAGGCCTAGGAAGATTTAAACTCCTGGTCCCCCTAAGAAACCTGATGACCAGATTATGCTTCCCCACTGACCTCTTCCACGATCTTGTAAGCTCCTCATGCACCTGGAAGAATGGCACCGGAGGGGGCGCTGAGAACCAGCGCAACCTCCAACGAGAAACCACTTGTCCAGCCTCGAAGGATCGGGACGCGGTGGAGGACTCCACACGAGCCCGACATTCTCTGCGGCCTGGGAAAGCATAGCTGTCATCTCTGGGTCTGGCTCAGACAACGCTGTCACACCTGAAGGGGGCAACGCAGCCGGGTCATCATCCTCGGAGAGAGCTCGCCCTCCGATGCAGCGATCGACATCTGGTCTCGAGGGGGCGAACTGAAGGAAACGGCCGGCTCCCTCCACCCTGTAGAGGGGCCAGCGCGTCCCTGCGGTTACTCCACCGGCTGCAGAGTTCTTGAGGGCTGACGAACTCCCTCTGGGGAAGCCATCACCGTGATCCTCAAATCACCTCTGACTCCACCAGAAACAGCACTGCCCCGATTGCCGGGATGAATATTGAATCGCGGCAGAGACAGAGGGACCCCGCCACGTTTGACATAACTGTGTCTTTCATGCAACTCCGAGACGGTCATGTCCCCACAAATAGAACATGCACCATCCACGAACGCTGGCTCAGCGTGCTCAACACCCAGACACATGAGACAGCGATCATGACCGTCCCGAGGCGCCAGATAGCGACCGCACCCAGAAACGCACGGGTGATAAGACATCTTTAAAAAGACGCGATTATTCGTGTTGCTCTTTTAGAGAAATGCTCTTCGTGCTGAAGCACGCAGGGGAGCTGGCCACCACACACTCCTGGTGTGGCTGTCTGCACGAAGATGATTGTGTTCTCGCCGTGCGACCGTGACCACCGCTGCCATGCCGACACACCCGCACTTGCTGGCTCTCTGCTTTGCAACTCCAAAGTAGAGAGCAGTAGTGATGCACTAACGCTCGGCTCCGAAGCGAAAGTTTCGTTTAGTTTAGTTTACACTCGAAGTGAATTGGTCTCTCTGGCGAGATCCTAATTCGTCGGTCATCACCCACGTGACGTCGAGAGTAAGCGACTGAAAGGGAACATAATATCTTGGCTGAATATGTTCAGTAGAAGACTGTTTCTGGCTTATAAGAAAACATAGATACAAAAAAGCTTACAAAGCAGCTAGCTGTTTTCATTCAAGTCAGAGTTATTCCCTTATTTTCATAGCTAAGCTTAGTTTGGGAACTGAGTGGTTTTATAGACTATTCTGTTGTCTTGGTGGTGTGTTGGCGGACCCAGCGATTACCTTCCCTTGTAGTATGTCACAGGCACACATTATTGTTGAAAAATAGTGCTGAAGTTGTTAGGGTGCTCTCATTGATCAGAATTGAGTGATAATCATCTTCTAGACTCCATGATTTTTCAGCTTAACTGATCACATAAGCCTATTTTAGGACTTCAGCATCACTCTTATGTCATCTTTGGTGTGATAATTTTAAAAGTGTCAAGGCACAATGAAAAACATGTGCTCCTAAATAAAAACAGCATAGTGGAACATCAGACAAACAACAAACTTGATACAGCTGTGAGATAGAGAAGTGGATACCAAAAAAAATAAAAAATGTTCCTCGTGGAGGAAATTATCCTTTTTTTTTCTTTTTTTTTTAAACCACACAACATAAAAAAAATATTTTTGCAGTTGTCAAATTTTCAGTATTATATATAGTTTTGATTTCAGTGGTTAGAGTATTAGTAAATACACTCTTATAAATAAAGGTGCTTCACGATGCCATAGAAAACCCTTTTTTTGTCTAAATGGTTCCATAAAGAACCCTTAACATCTAAAGAACTTAAGAGTTTTCTCAGAAAAACAAATCTTAATGCTACACTAAACCATGACATTCTATTGAACCTTCTTGCTTGTATTAAACCCTCCCTTTGCTGTTAAAACAGCATTTGGGAAGGCCTACCACTTGACGAAGGAACATGGATGAAGGGATTTGCTCCCATTCAGACACAGTCACTTCAAGGTTATGCACTAAAAACTGCTGCACAACAGAATCTAACAGAACTGGCTCCTCCCTTATTTTTATATAAGTATTAAGTAAAAAACTAAATATGTATACATTTCTAAATAACAATGCAAAATAATAATACAAATAAAAACATGATAAATACGTTATCCATATCCAGTTCCCCTGCCGCACAATGTTGCTCCTAGGCAACAAACATATTTATGCAATTGCTTTTAGCATGCTGTAGATATAAATTATATTTACTCTTATAGACTCTAAATGTTTTAAAATTTATGTTGCAGAAGTTTACTCACTAACAAACGTGAATCATATTTGTGAAGGATGAAAAATCAATAAAACATGCTTTTCTGAGGTCAGTTCTCCAAAGCAAAAATGTGCATCCACGCCACAGTGCCCCATGCCAGAAAAGGATTTTTAAAAGTGCCAGCTTTGTGAATAAACATCTTAAATTCAGCTCTCATCATTGTGGTCATCTCAGACCCTTTGACCACTCTCAAGTAGTTCCCAAAGGCACACTTGTGCTGAAACAGCAGGAGCATGTCAATATAAGTGACAGGTGCTCTTTGAGTAACGCAACCAAGGACTGTTCATTGGCAATGTGTATGTCATCATCATCCTTAAGGTGATGCACCTGCTCTGCTTGCCTCATGCAGTCACTCCTGGACAGCTCTCCTTTAATTGCCATCCAGCTGATTGATGGATCACAATGAGAGTGTGTTACAGGCACTGCAGAGACATTAAAAATGGACGCCCCCATTGTAAACACTGGTGAATGCTGATAATTGGCTCTAAATTAGCTGCGTAGACAACAGCAATGACACCACTGCGGTTTTGATGCATCAGTCTTGTTAAAAAATGACCCATAATGCAACACTACCAACTCACTAAAGTTTTTATTCCTTTTCACTGTATATTTCACAAAATTCCTAGGCTGGGTTTTCCATTAATGTTGCAAATCACACCCTTAAGATCATAACAAAATGATATTCTGCATTCCAATTATATTATGCCCTAAAAGTATGAACTATTTTTTTGTGAAGAAAACTTGCATACTTTTGAGTGTGTAGCAGAAGTGTAGGCATGTTTTGGGACATACTGCCACATCATAATTGTTTTTAACAGACCACACCGACTCAATATAATAATCACAGTTACAGTAATATCCCCATATACATATTCCACATTTCAGTTCATTTAATTTACACTACAATTCTTCCTAGTATGCTGGAGAGAACAGAAGTAGCATGTTGAACTCTGAATGTTTTTTTCCAGATGTAATAAATGTTTTGGGACACACTAATTCTAATTTTGAATACTATTTAGGGTGGATACTATTCAAATTTAGACGCAGCAATAGACATTTATTTTGTGATTGAGCAATGCCTGTTTTCCAAACCAGTATATAAGATGTTCATTATTTAAAATGAATTGCATTGTTGCATCGTGCTTTCAGATCCAAAGTTGCTGATTTATTTATTTACATTTGGAAAATAGACCCACATATTTCTTGTGAAAATTATATTATTAAGAACAAACAACTACAATTTGTTAGGCCTACATAAAGTTGTATCATATTGTCATATAAATTCATTCACGCAGAGATGAAGGCACATTTTATTTCATTATTTTATTCATTTATTCATCTGTAATAACAAAATGCATTAATATTAAGTGATCCTTCATCTTTTAGGGAAAAATCAAGGAGAAAGAATTGTCAGTGGTCAAAGGCTCTTGTTAATTTATGAACTTTTTTTAATGTACTACTTCGTAGTTATTGTTTTGGGAAACATGACAAGTAATGTTTTTGCATGTCTGACATTTTACTCAAGCCCTTGGCTGTTTTGCTTGCAAAATATTTTGTTCTGTCTAAACTCGCACAAAAAAAGTTAATCACCTTTCTTTACTGTATTTTTATAAAATCACATATCCCATGTATGGGCACAGGAGGGCTGGAGCTTATCCCAGCATCTTAAGCCGTAGGCAAGGAAGCACCACAGACAGATGGCCAGTCTACAACAGGGCTAACAGAAACAGACAGATACACATTTACACTCACAGTTATGGGCAATTTTAGTTTCACATTCACATAACCTGCGTGTCTTTTGGGGGAAAGTAAATGTAACTATATATACCCTATTCTTTTCATTAGCAATCAGTTTAAAAAAATAAAATTATATATTTTGAATTACACAAAACAGAGCCAAATCTATGTGTAGTTTACAATACATAATACAACATTGAATGATAATAATGCAAAATGTGATTAAATACGGTATCCTGCTAAATATATCAATAAGCCTTGGGGGCACACAGCGCACGAACGGCGCATTTCCAATGACCCACTAGCATATGGATGCCCTCAAATGACCCTAAAGCCACGAAACTTCAAGTTTGATTTCATGGTGTCTTTAAATCCTGCGGTGCACAGCATTTCTGAAAGGTTCAGCACACAAAAGGCACAATGAAAGAACTTAAGACTTAAACTCTGACGTCAGACTAAGGGAACATGCGCTGTGACGCATCCACCGGCGAGCGCTTCTCAAACGCGTCTATTCAGGCAAGTGGAGGCGATGTATGCGTCAGAGCGGGGAGAAAGTGCGCTCGTTAAGAGAAGAGTCAAACCCCGGTAACAGCACAGACGGAGGCGGAGATACGGACTCAACATATCACCAAAACCACATGCGTCGCGTTTGGGACATTTTTTACACGATCATTCGAATTAATGCGGGAATTACGGCTGTTTGTAAGCTTACTTGTTTCTTGTGGTACACAGCAAGGACCGTTCGAAGATACAGAGTAGAATGACAGTTCTAGCGATCAGCGCAGTTCTCTAAGTGCGTAAACCAGAGATTTTGGAGAGGATGATCGCACATCACTCGCCTTAGATCCACGCAACAGCCACAGACAAACTGGAAATTTCTACATTTTTTTGCAATGGGCGGTGAAAGCCCTAAAACATCAAATATATTGTTTTCCTAAAGTTGGCATCTCTTGAAAAAGAACGGATTCCTTTCTTCTGAATCTGTGAAAGAAAAGCGCATCAAAGGTGTTGGTTGTTGTATGGCAATAGAATGGAGATGTGGTGTGGATGCTGAAGGCAGTCAGGATGCTGATGCTGAGAGTTGCGTGGGCTCTAGCGGGAGCGGCGATCTGCTGTTTTCTCATCATTCTCATCCACTCTCGCTTCCTACGAGAAGGTAAATGTGTGTGTTAATTAATAACATAACGCATTATTTATTTACCCATACTCGGAAATCGCACCTGTAGGTCACTTTAGTCTTTTGCTTGATGAATTGATGGAAGAATATTGCATATTTTTTATTATTATTATTTCACAGTGTGCAATCATGTCCATATTTCCCTTTAATATAGAGAATGCGGGTTGGAGGAGAAATATTAATCATAATCAGCAAAAACACCCCACTGTTCTGTTTTGTACCTGTACAGAATAAGATTTACCAGATAATATTCGTGCAAAACTGACGTCTTGAATCTTATTTGATTGTTGGATTTTTATGAAATCATCTTCAAAAGAGGTAGGATGTGATACATATTGCATAAGATGGAGCTGTTTTATGAGTTAGTGATTTATAGTTATGTTTTTTTCAATAGATGGCACTACAGTCTATCTAAAGGGTAAAACTGAGGTCAAAAGGTGATTATTGTCTCCCATAAGTTAATCTAAATTTAACTGTCAGCTAGTATATAAAGTGCATTATAAAGTATTCATAATTATGTAATACATAATATGATGTCATAACTGTAACCAAAGTTACATTATAATGCAGTATATATTCATGATTACATCTCTAAAAGTATAGTACATTTAAACATGAAATATCGTTTTTACCATGTATGTGGTAATGTATTTTATACACTTTAAAGGTAACTACACTGTAAAAAAAAAAAATGATGTTTTGTCAGGGAATCTAAAATTGTACTCCATGTGGTAATAATTCAGTTCACATCAAAATATTATGTAACATTATTTAATTCACCTTATATATTTATTATTCACCAATAATATTCACCATATCTCTATGTATATATGTGTGTGTGTGTGTGTGTGTGTGTGAATATGTAAATAGTAATATAAACGCATTATATTATACAGTATTATAACTGCGGTTAGTTACTCACCAGAACAGTCTATGAGATGTTAAATGCAGCATTATGAAAGCATCATAATGCTTTAAGAGTATTTTTTTATACAGGTTTAAAGTAAAGTGTTAACTTATTATAGTGTTTTCTCTAACAATCTACTATCATAATTTTAGATTTAGGTCTATTAAATATTTATTGTTATTTATTATTTATCTTGTGTTATTGCATTTTTTGATATCAATAAAGCGATACAAAGCCCAGATTAAAATAAATACAGTAATGTACTGATTTGCAAACCATGCACTTGAAGGGGTAACGTGTCAACATGAATGCTGAAAGGTGAGAAATGGGAGCCACACAGACAAGTCAGCAGGATACTGCTGCTTCACCTTTCCACACTGACACAGTAGATATAGGATGTCCTTTTCAAGAGACATCTATCCTGGCTTCTGCATGTGCCTTAAGGGAAGACAAGAGCGGTTTGTTTATAGATGAGACAGAAGGTCAGCTGGTTTCTCTGCTTAGCTGTGGGGATTGGAGCGTGTTTTCAACTCTCCCCTGTACTCCCGATGTAAATATAAAGATCAGTCTAACAGGAAAAAAAAAAATAAACATTCAAGGTGAAGCAGAAGTGACCTTGCGAACTGTAAGGTTATTGAGCATAATTAGTATAACACTGTATATGTCAACACACATTTATTGACCTGATTCCATATCTGATGACAACAAACTGCTCTTTCAAAGAATTGCTGGCCTTTTGTGAAAAGAAAGAACATGAGTATTCTTAAAGGAATAGTTCTGTCGCATTCCAGCAAGAACCAATGCTATTTTGGTGAAAATTACGTCAAACCTGGCTTGGTGCAATTTAAGATTTTAGAGCTTTGATGGAGAGTGAGATTATCAGTGTATAATGATTTAAATTCAGGTATATTCTTCACCGGACGTTTAGAAGGCTTAGAATATAGCATTTGAGTATAAGAGGTTAACAGGAGTGGTTATTAAGAAGCTGTATAAAAGTTACCACTCAATACAAGCATTGAGACCTTCTGGTTTTGAGATACCTGGTTAATTTCCCTTCAATCAACAGAAAATTAACAGATAAAAAGTCACGACCCATGACTGGGCTCTGTACATCTTTATCTCATTTCGGGGTCTATAATATGCCAGAATATGTCTGATTAGCATTTTGTATTTGAACGTTCTTATTCATTCATTGCAGGAGCTCATTTTAAGCTGAAAAAATTTAAAAAACCAAAGCGATGTGCTTATTGAAACCTCTGCTGAAGTAAATGAGGCACAGAGGTGAGAGCGCATTTGCTTCAGCTGCAAGGTCGTTGCTCAGACTAGGAGGTGAGATAATTTATACAGGCACTGAATAAACTCCACTGACCACAGGAATAATGCAGACGAGCTCAGGAAATCATTTATTGAACAGTCCTTTGAAATAAAGTTGAAGTGGTCCTTCTTTTTTAATTTGTGGAGAAAATCTTTGAAATGAGAGTCAGCAGCATTCGTTTCAGTGCTCTACTGTGTATCACAGTGGACCATGTGAATTGTCGGTATGTCTTATATACCATAATTATGGACATAAAATATACAAATCTTCTCAGTTTTGTAACTCACTCATTTAGTAGACATTTAGTTAATCAACTATACTCTCTATACTCTTTCTATGCAATATAATAATTGCAGTTGTGCTGAAAAATAACAGCAGAAAATTAATTACCTCTGTGCTGTTATTAAGTGTAATTGTTAGTGTTTGCTTAATTATTACACAGCTATTTGGAATACTTCATTCTAATAGGTCAATCACAGCATTCAGAAGATAATTAATATGATTGCAATGTTGTATATGAGACCACCTATTGGGTAACTGAAACCCGCACTACTATTTTTATGTCTACGTTATCACACTTTAGACTTGTGTCTCTTGCGTTTATTTTCATCTTTAGTAAACAAAATGAGCTAGTGTGACTGTTCTTTTTCCAAGTTATTCATAGTGAAGGGTTTTAAATAAAAATGTCTGCTAAATGATTTTTGCTTACAATCATATTTAACTGTACAAATTTCAGTTACAAAGATGCCAGTGCCTTTCAACTCTTCTTACCCCCATATTTTAAAATATACTTCATAGAATATAATTCATTTTATTCATGATATATTGTAAAACCCTAAAGATAAATGGTTAAATATGTCAAAGCCAGAACTCAATTTATGTATAACATTTTCCGGTTTTCAAACCAACCCTGGCAGCACGATCTCTGAAAGCAACAGTTTGGAGGATTTGGTGATCTAAAATCCCCAGTGCTGTTTGTTTGCTGTGATGATGTACTGATTGCATAATTGTAGTGAACATACTGGTGAACAGTAGTGCAATTAGCAAGTGTCGGTTGTCTGGCTGGCAGATGGCAGACTTATTCATCTAGCGGCCTTTTCTGAAGGTGCTTAAACTGATAGTGTGGAAAGATTTGGCAATTTTGTCCTGGAGTGGCACGTCGGTCTGAAGTGGCTCTTCAGTACTACTCTACACTTAACACACTGGTAATACCCTGCAGTGAGAACTTCTGAATAGTGCAATTGTCACTGTGGCTTGAAAATCCCCTTTTTTGTCAAACCCCAAACAAGCTGAAAGGCAGGATATCTTTCTTAAGAACTGCCAGAACATAGCTCAGAAGTGGTGCCATAGAAATGTGTCAAACAAGAGAGATTAAACAAATTTACAAAGGGGACAACCTGGTTGATTCAGTGTCCAATGCCTGGCTAGAATTAATTAAAATATTCCCTTTTTTAATTAAAATATTCCACATTTTCTTTTTAAGCCCTTTGCTATACACCTTAATTCCATAATTTGCATTAGTAGGCTTGTCAACAAGCACTCTTTTCAAGTCACGTCAAAATGATTACGAAATTGGTGCTCTTAAATGCCACCACAATGACCTAATTACAGTTTTAATTGTGCAGCTTAGTTTGTACATTTTGTGTACTGTTAATAAAAAACATACTATTAAGAATAAACCATAAAATATTACTCATTTAGCCAGTTTATTATGTCATAAGCATGCATCAAAACTAGATTTCCCATCATGTTCTGAGCCATCACTTGACAAAAATCACTTGAACACACATCACATCGTAATTACGATTCCTAAACTCACACATAGGAGTTTCCCAGGAGGACTGGTAGGCAGCAGAACCCCTGCTTCGTTCTACTGACTGCTGCAGACCCTTCATGGCAGGGCTGGTTCTGTAGGGGTGCTTGAGTGTGCTAAGCACCCTCAAACAAAGTAAGAGTGCCCTCAGTTGAAACTGTAATAGCTTTTATTGACAGAGCAGATTTTTCTGACTGTATCCCAGCCAACAGACATGCACAAAATCCCTCATCAACACTAGTAATTGAGCATGATCTTGCAAATCAGTTTATTAATTTACATGAATTATGAGTATTCTACTTTCATGCATCCAACATAAGCATGATAGCATTTGATTTATGACCTCAGCTCACTCATGGAGAATGTGTGGCGGAATTATCTCACTCAGTCCATACCTGATTGTGACAATGGGATAAATCAGGCTGTAAATGCTGGTCGAGGATCAGTTTCCTATAGCCAAACCTTAGCAGTCAAATGGGTAACACTATAGACAACACATATTCACTATTAAGAGTTTTCCCTAAATAAACTCTTAATTTGCTGCTCATTGATAAGGTAGCTGGAAGTTGTTGTAGTTATGTTCAGGTGTAGTGTAGGGTTAAGGGGTCTAGAATATGGTCATGCATTAATATGTGCTTTGTAAGTACTAATAAAAAGAAATCTGTTAGTAATATGCATGCTAATAAGCAACTAGTCAATCGTGAATATGTGTTTCCTAATCAATAGTTACCGTGGAATGCTAATAAGCTGTGTACAACTTTTTTAATACAATGCTTGCTTTGCATCAACAGACAAAACATTCATTTATGAATAGATTGTATGTTTTTCTAACATCCTTACATTTTTATTAAGTTACAACTTACAGAGGTTATGGGAGTTCTTTCTGAGTGGAAATTGTATGCCGTTTATTTGTTGGTATGAGTTTCCCCTACAACCTAAAGACA